AGCGATGGCCTCCAACCTAATAGCGATGGCCTCCAACCTAATAGCGACGGCCTCCAACCTAATAGCGATGGCCTCCAACCTAGTAGCGACGGCCTCCAACCTGTTAACGACGGCCTCCAACCTAATAGCGATGGCCTCCAACCGAATAGTGATGGCCTCCAACCTATTAGCGACGGCCTCCAACCTAATAGCGATGACCTAATAGCGACAGCCCCCAACCTAATAACGATGGCCTCCAACCTAATAGCGATGGCCTCCAACCTAATAGCGTCGGCCTCCAACCTAATAGTGATGGCCTCCAACCTAATAGTGACGGCCTCCAACCTAATAGCGATGGCCGCAGTTGCGGATGGAAGCTCAGCTGCGTCAGCGTCGCTTGCGTGAATGGAAGGCTTCTTTGTCTGAGGGTACCTTCGGCGCCTTAGGCAAATGGATTAAGGGCAAACAAATGGTCTTTCGTAAGGTCACGCTCGTTCAGCAGGGTGTTGAAGCTGAAACGCATGAGCAGTCGGCGCGATTCATCCGCGAACATGGGAGAATGTTTGGAGCGAGGGTTGGCTTGCGTCTCCTGAGCTTAGTCGTCAACTTGCTTCTGACTTTGGGCATCGCCCTGCGGGTCGTTGGGTTGGTCCGTCGGCCTCTGATCTTCATCGCGCGCTGCTGCATTGCAAGGGTTCAGCCGGGCCAGACCAATGGCACAGCGCTGAGGTTAAGCATCTGCCTTTTGATGCTGTGCAGGTTTGGTGGACGCTGACTCAGAGGTGGCTTCGGTCTGGTTCGGTGCCCAGGCAGCTCACTAAGAGCAGAATGGTCAACCTGGCCAAGGAAGGTAAGGTTTCTGGTGATGGGTCTCTTGATCCAGCCGCTACACGCCCTATCGTGTTGTCGGTTTTTTGGCGCGCCTTTGCTGCAGCTCTGCTTCAGACCGAGGATGTTCAAGATTGGGTGAGCCAGTCTCTTGACGAGAGGGTTGCTTGCAGAAAGGCGGGGTTGACCACTGAAGCTTGATCGCCCGCATACAGGCGCTGTATGCTGATCAGGATGGCTACATTGTATCTCTGGACTGGTCTGCGGCTTATGACCGCTTGTCCCCGGAAATCTGTTGCCAGGCGCTTACTGACTGTGGATGGGATCCTCGTTTCGCTTCGCTGCTTCAGGCTGTTTGGGCGAATCAGGTTAGGTGGGTTCAGTGGGGGGCTCACACCAGCCCTGCTCCGCTCCCTTCTGGACGCGCTGTTCCGCAAGGCTGTCCGGTCGCCCCGACGATCTTAGGTTTTGTGGTTACCGCTGGCCTGCGGAAGGTTGAGTCTAACCTTGGTCATAATGCTGAGCGTAGCTGTACTTCCATTTACATGGATGACCGAACTTGGTGGGCGAAAGATTGGCATGAAGTTGGGGTCGTCCTATTCGATTGGTTTGAAGGAGAACAATCGCAAGACTCAGGTTTGTGCGCGGCATGCTTTTGACAACGACCCTTGCCCGCCTGAGTGGAAGGTTCCTGAAGTCAAGGCCCTTGGGGTCTCTACCGCGTCCAAAGTTCGTAAATATACGAATGGTGAGCAGGAGAGATTGGACAAGGCTGAGGGCTGCTTCGCTGTTGGTTGGTGCGTCTCTGCCTTGGACTAGGGCAGTGGAAGCTTTTAAATGCTTCGTCTTGAGCATTGGGGCTTATGGTTGGGTCTGTCGGTCACCCACCCTCACGTCCGGTCCGGTGATCGCCTCCTGAAATCTTTCAGGCGCGTTGTTGGTGGCAAGACCCGGATGGCTAGTAAATAGCTCCTCATGCTCTTTTTCGGTGGGTCGCTTCATTTGGTGAGTGCGGTGATCCAACGGCTGTGGGGCACACTGAGTAAGCTTGACTTACCTTGGTGCAACTCTTACGCTTCGCCTGTTGGTGTGCTGCGTAGACAATTGAAAGGGATTGGTTGCAGTGAGGTGCGCCCTTGGACGTGGCGTTGTTACAGCGGTGTTGAGGTGCAACTTTTTCGGTCTTCTGACCTTACTCTGCTCAAAGGCATGAATTAAGAATGCAGTTTCGGTGGCACGCTTTCGTCCAGTGGCTTCGCTGTCAAAGACATGAGGCCACGCAGCTTTTGCAAGATCGTTCAAAAGAAGACTTGGAACAGTTTTTTCGCTGTGTCGATATTGGCTTCACGCGAAAGCGTATGGATTTAAAGGCACGTTGCTCTGGGGGCCTCTGTGTCCCCGGCTTTGTATGACCGTGCTTTGCAGGATGGCCCCTTCTGTCAGGGTAGACTCAGACCGTCTTGGATGCACTTGGTGTGGCATTGCGAGCATTTTCGCGAATGTAGGCCTTCTAGGCCCCGCAATCCCCCTACCGCTAGGTTTGGTTGGGCCTCCGGCCCGGCAGATTCGGCTGTCATGGACCATCTCACTAAGGTGCAGGAAGCCGCGTGGCGTCTTCGGCACGGGGAGGAGCGTTGATTCGCAGCTAAGGACTTTGCGTGCTGATAGCAATTCAAGGGCTACAGCCCTACAACTCCATATACCTAATAGCAATGGCCTCCAACCTCGACGGCCTCCAACCTAATAGCGATGACCTCCAACCTAATAGCAATGGCCTCCAACCTAATAGCAATGGCCTCCAACCTATAATAGCGACGGCCTCCAACCTAATAGCGACGGCCTCCAACCTAATAGCGATGGCTTTCAACCTAATAGCGGTGGCCTCCAACCTAATGGCGATGGCCTCGAACCTAATAGCGATGGCTTTCAACCTAATAGCGGTGGCCTCCAACCTAATAGCGATGGCCTCCAACCCAATAGCGATGGCCTCCAACCTGATAGCGATGGCCTCCAACCTAATAGCGATGGCCTCCAACCTAATAGCGATGGCCTCCAACCTAATAGCCATGGCCTCCATTCTGGAATATTGTGGAAAGTTTTCTGTTTGGATTTTCACGCACACTCAGACTGGATCAGGTTGTTTTCAGCCGATCAGTTTTGGTGGAGTCCACAACGCCGGATTTCTTGACCGTCTCAGACTCGTTTTCCCAATCAGAGGTCTCTTGGAGTCAGATAAGCATTGCAATCAAGGACCGCCGACGTGCGTTCATTTGGAACCTTTGGGTAACCCTTGTCGTTGAGTTTTTGAAACACACTATTGCATTTAAACGCTATTAAAACATTTTTAAAACCACAACACCTCAAGACGTTCGGTGGTCGGCCGAGGTGAACTTCACTGACAAAGACCTGGACGGCACTCAAATCGGAGGCGCTTCTTTATTTGAACACGTGCAAAGCGCTTGGTGCTTCGAGGATCCCTTGCTCTTGGGGCTTATCGAACTGTAAGTGTACGGAAGCAGCTGATGAGTTTTTGCCCTGGCAAGGTGTCATTTCATGGAGCATCCCAGTGCCAGATTTTCGACCATTGGTGGAGCACTTCTTTGTTTCTTGCGTTAACTTTGGTTGGTACATATATGTTGCCAGCTCAAACACTGTGGTCCTGTCATTACTTGTTTCAGAAACCGGTCGGAGGTTGTTACTACTTAGTTCTTCGCAGTTGAGGTGTACCTCTCTGACTTCGGAAATCGGTCACAGCTGGGGAATGGGCCGTGGAGCACGAGAGAGGCAGAGACGACACGATCAACAGCGCACAGCGGATCGAGAGAAGTCTTGGTAGCGATGGCCTCCAACCTAGTAGCTTCTTGTTCCTGGTGGCTTCCAATCTTGAGTCAAAGAAAAGGAACATCCCCGGATTGATCCCAAATGCAGCTCAAACAAGATCAATCTGGCTGTTGGGTGTTATTGCGATCGTTTTTTGTCGAGTACAGTACGTTGATCAAACTTTGTCATAAGTGGTGCTGGTACAGTTGTTTTTCTGTGTCCCCCTATGTCCCCCTCAATTCCCCAGGTGTCCGTCCAGCCAGAGCTGTACTACGCCCCCCACACTCATGTGGCAGTTTTTGCTGCAAGCTCGTTGGTGGAGCAAAGCACTCCCTCGACCACAGAGCCTTACTTAGCTTTTGAGCTTGGTCTCAGCTTTCACAAATTCAACATGATTCAAAAAACTGTTTGGATGTCTCAACTAACTACGGCACACAACTAGGGCGCAAGGGTAATATGTGCATAATGTTTAATCTAATTGAGACTCACAAATGTTGGATGTTGCAGCCAACAAGTAGCTTGAAGGTGGGCAGAACGTGGCAGAATCGACTTGTGAAAGCACATGGCTCAGTGAGGAAATTGTGGATACAGATGCAAGTGTATCCAACATCCTCTTCCAAGACAAGGATCTTGATGCGACGCTTGGCACAGATTGCGGCACAGATGTTATGCCTTTTGCAAAATTGGAGGGACCATCCAGCACTCATATTTCTCTCAGTGGTGTGCCAATGCAGTCTGGCACCGGCACCTGAGGGATGAAATGGGTGGCTACATTTTTTGGACAGCACCCACAGACTCCCTGCAGGCAAGGCACGTTGTAACGCCTGATATAGTGTGTTTTTTGAGCCTTGAGCATTCCAACACAGGAACACAATGATCAACAATGTTCACATGTTTTCTGAACTCAGGTGACATACTACAACGTCTTCCTGCGAGATGCATCTTCAAGTTCACAGATAGCAGGAGATGGTCCTGGTGGCCTAGTGCCACTTGGGGTGGAGCAGGACAGGAATGTCGGGAGAGGGAAAGGGCTAGCTGTTTGGTTCCCACTTGCTAACTGTCTTCCGGATATATCTCTACACCATGTAGGCCATTGATCGCCAAAGCTGTACAAGTAATCTTTGTACAGTGTAGACAAAGTCAGCAGCATTCGCATATTGTTAGCGGAATTTGGATCTGGCAACGGTGGTGAACTTCTCGCGTGAGGATTTATTCAGACATCCTCCACACTTGTTTGCTTATAACATGAACATGTGTTTCCCGTATAAAATGGCCTCTCAGGTCATTCTTTAAACACAATATGTGCAAATAATAACCTATTTGATCCTATCTGGAGTGCACAAGTAAGGAGAATATTCAGACTATAATCAGTGAATCAGACAAAAGCATGCAGGATTAGTTGAAGTCGTAGCTCGAACTGGGGAAGTGCATAGTTCCTTGCAGAACCCGACTGTAGGAAGTGTTTTTTTCAGAAGCGCAAGCGAATGCTGGATTCTTATCATGAATATGATGTTTTTGGTGCCACGACCTCTCGTGACTCGCAGAGGCGTTCGTGTTCCGCCAGTTCTAACATGTTCCGTTTCTGTCGTGGTTTCGACGTCGGTCAAGGATTCATTAGGTCTCGCCGCGCTGGGGGTGTTAGATTTTTGTTGTCTCGAGGAGTACGGGGAATTTTTGTGGTTGTGTTGGCTGTCTGTGTGGGACGAATCTATACCACAATCGTACATACCACCAAGGGTCACGGCCTCTTTGTTTGTGTTGAGTCGGCCTCTCCGGCCTCTCCTACGTTCTCGCGATTTGATTGTGACGTCAGCCATGCCGGATGTTGCCAAAAGTTGCCCAAGTACTTCTTGCTATACGTCCGGATTGCCGGAGCTAGTCAGAGAGGACTGTCGAAGCTGTTTATTGCACAGTTGCCTTATATATGTGTTGGTGGCTCCAAGAGCTAAGCCACCGGTGGAGTCGAAACAAGATGTGCAGGCTTCGCGGTTGCTCGCTTGTGAGCTCACTGGCGCGGTGAAAACTGATGAGACAACTTTTTGGGGGTTGGAGGGAGTGGTGCGCTTGTGAACTCTAAATGTGAACGCATGTAAATGTTCAAAAAAGGAGGAGAAATATGCAGAAAAAAGGATCTGAGACAAAAGATATGCATCTACAAAACACTGAGAAGTGCCATTGATTCATCCACGATGACATAAGTGGCACACCCACGACTACGCGAGTCATTCGGGGTCGTGTTGCCATGTTTCTATTGGGCTTAAAGGTCAGGCTTCCTTTGTTGGATGAAATATGTCACCATTGGGAAAGGGCTCGTCATGGCAAGGGTTCACTACAAACCCCACTGTCACCTATTGCCCTGTGTCTAAATTACGCAAATAGCTTTATTTTTTCACATGAGTGTGGGCATAGGATGGGGCAACGTTTGGACATCGTTCAGGCATCGTTCACCAATGTTCACTAAGTTCACTACATCGTTTTTGCGAAGAAGTTGGGAAATAGATGCAAATTGAAGATTGTAAGTGGTGCTGAGCTTGAAGCTGCGGTTCCATTGAGAAAAAGCAAAGGCAAGGACTTTCTGGGACTTCTTAAACCCAGCGTTTCCACGGTGAACTGTACAAAAACTGTGACAAAGCGACTACTAATGTCTGGCTACATGATATCCGTATTCCATTACATGTGTTACATGTGCGGTTTCAAACCGAAACAGTTTTTGCTGCTTTGGAGGAGTTTATACCGGCAGAGACCGCCATTGCCAGTTGGCAGGCGAGGTTGAAAAAGTTTGCAGCTACCTCCTAACTCATCAAAGGCAAGTATCATGGCGAACAGCTGCATTTCGGATCCGGTTCTTTTGACGGTGATCTGGCATTGGCAAAGGAAGTGGCAATCTACACACAGTCCAGCTTGGTGGAACAATCCACGGCAGTGGCACTACCAATTATCGAGACTTGCAAAATCTTGAGAGTCAGAGTGTTTTCTGATAAGTACCACCAAGCAGCAGCTCGCACAAGACTACCAAGGGCACAGATCTCGCGTGTGTTGTTCACTTTGCTGAATTGCAAAAGATCTTTCCCAAACAATGCTTCACTGCCGCTTGACTCCTCTTTGCTGAGTCCTTTTAGGATGAGATCGCATCGGTCTCTGGTGTGGTGTTTGATGATATCGATCAGGACTTTGCACTCGAGAACAACAATTGAATGAGTGCCACCTCAGAGTCGGTCACCGGAATTAGATACAGTAAACTCTCAGTCTCAGGTCTAAAATTTTGTGCCAAAATCGCATCAAAACCTTTGTGAAACCTAAGCAATCAAAGAACCGCATAACCGCCAAAAACCGCCACAGGACATTGACGTGCTTGGTGGGCAAATCAGCTGGGAACATCCCAACGACACCTCCGAGGCAACGGGAGAGGACATTCGAACGTCCGGGAGGTGATCTGAATGTTCCTTTTAGGTTCCATCCCAGGATGAGCCGAAAAACACCAAGTGTGGGATATGGCACTTGGATTACGGACGAGGTCAGCTTCTACGTCGGCTACTTTGCCAACTTCCCAGGGGCTACATACGGCAGCCGGAGGCAAGAGCCACTTGGCTCACCATTTGCCAAGCCAAGCCATTTGCAGATGGGAAAAAGACTGAAAGAGGATGGGCAGCTCCATGTCGGCTTCATACTCTGATGTTTGGCACCTTGCAGACATGAACGAAGCAAATGAGCAAGCTGAGAACTTGTGCTGTCTAATCATTTCGGCAAGCAAGAAAAGGGCTTGATCTCTGTGTTTATGCCAATGGCTGCCCCAGCACTTAATTAGTCCTTGTATGTCCTTGTCCCTTTTGGTGCCCAAGGTTTGAAGTGGCCTCAAGCGCAAATTACTTTGACCTGAGCCTTCAGACACCTCAGTCAGGAGTCGCGCAGAACTGCTGTCGGTGATCACGAGAAGTCAGAGCTTGGCTTGATTTGAGCATTTATTGGGCTTGGCAGATTTTTTTGGCTAATTAGTTTCATTTCATTGGCTAATTTTTAGTTGGGCCTTTCTCACCAGGATACAGCTATATCTCAGTCTACACAAAGTCCAGCTTGGCAGAGCAGACCACTCCAACCTCCATTGACCTTGTCGACTTCTGCCAGAATGTGCCAACGCTGGAGAACACGAGCTTGAAGCTTGGTCATGCCATGGTGCACTCCGGCACTGCAGTGTCCTTCAAAGTTCGTTGGAGAAGCTTTTGGCTTTTGTTTGAACGCTGCGAGTCTTGCACGGTTTTGCCACAGGTTTGGACATTACTCGTGCGGTTTGCTTTCCAAACCGAGGACTCCCGAACAGGGCACCCTAATGTTGGATTATTATGAGGCTGTGTGGCGAGTCCTTCTCGTTCGAGTGGCGTTGTGGCGAGTCCTTGTTTCGAGGTACCCGAATTGGTCATCACCAAGTTCTTCCAAGTCTCAGAGGTGAGAAACGCTTGAAAAACAGTTCTGAACGGTTTTGAACGGTTGGCATTCCCTTTCGCATCAACTCTTTGCAGGACGGCCTTTCTGTGGAGTTTGCTCCCTTGCGAAAGGGTCCCATTACCATGATCATTACCAGTACCACGGCATCTTGGACTGTAAGGCGTTGAGATATTTATATATATGTACAGAGACAATGATATGACTATATATATATAGAAAGAGAAGGGGGTTCTCCACTAGACAGAGCTGAAGCATTCTTTGCCCAAGGCAGTGGTGGTCCAAACCCCAGTTGCCTCAGCTTGAACTTGCTGCAAAGCACTTTGGTGGTCACGTCCTTTGTACGTAGAGCAGACTGATTAGTCTGAGTCAGAAGTAGTAGCAATTGGTCTGCAGAAATTGGTCCTTGATGTGCTTATTTGTAAACCCAAAGATGCTGCAAGCATTGCCGTAAGTATTGCCTAAGCAATGGCCTCAAATGTTCCACTCAGGGGATGACTAGCGCCCAAGTCCAAGCCTTGAGCAACGCTATCGGAGTCTCACTTGCAATTGGAGGGCGCTTTTTAAAGCTTGTCTATTGTAAATGAGGTGGGTTGACAGATATTGGCAATGGTTGAGCAGACGAGAGCTCATGAAATGGCAATTATTGGTAAAACCTAACACACTATGGGTCAGGCAGTGGTTTGTTGGGGTACATGGGGTGCGGGATCTTGTTGGACGTTGGCCCAGACACACCCCTGGCAGGACTCTTGGTTCCAATCTCAACCACCAGTCTTGGCAAGCCTCCAGATAGACAATCCCTGTTGTCGATGAATGTCACGTCGATGAATGTCGCGTCCGATGTAGACATCCGGAAGAACACTGTACTAGTATATGGTTGTCCATGGTGGGGACGGTCAGATCATCAGATCTGAGTCGGAGTGCTGTTGAGAGTGTAGGTGGAGGATGCGTATGCGGTGTATGGATACTCAAAAAGACTCAGGCCGCAGGTTCTCCACAGCTCAGGTGGGTCGGGCTGTCAAATTGCCGGAGATCAAATGGCCGCATGTACGGTCGGGCTCTCAAGAGGCTGTTCTCAGCATTGTGACTGTGTATCCTTGCATTTGGCGCATGGCTGGTGGATGGCTGTAGATTTGCATTGTTTGGATTTGATATGTTTCTCTCCTGTGCGTCTCCTGCTGAGAATACAACGCTCCACTTGACCGGCTGTGCTCTTGACGTGGGAGGACGTCCCGGCCTCAGTACAAAACCGCAAACATGCTACTGGTGTCATCCGTCACCAACGTTACATCCTTACACACCTCGTGCAAAGCGGTGTTAAGACAACTTCAGAGGCTCTTGTTGCTACATGGTGCAAGTACGACGCTGTCGTTGGATCTCACAAGAAATACTGTATAGCGTGACCAGCGTTCGGAGGATGTGGCAAATTCATGGAATCTTCAGTGTTGCTTTGGAACCATCAGAGAATTATATAGTTATACTTCCGGCCCGAGTCCCTAAAATGAAAAGCAAGGCACAGAGACTTGGAAAACTTGGAACTTCTCTGTTCTTCAATGGATCTATCAGAGAAGTTCCAAGCGGTTCCCGGTTCTCGAAACTTCTCGCACCACTGAGTTCACCAGTACCGTCTTTGGATCCTACAAGAAGATGAGACGTCAGTCTTGCCAGAGGCGACTTCAGAGCTTTGCTAACAAACACGCATTTTAATGGTTTTGTACCGCTGTCAGACGGCCCATATTGACTTCATGATTGCCTCAGTGGTTTTTACGCAAGGTACAAGCCCTAGATATTAGATACAGATATTGACTTGTGTGAAGAGTCTTCCTGCTTGTGACGTCACTAATCTACACATGCTGAGGCCCTCTTTTGTACTTCCGCAACATGACAGCAGTGGCGATACAGTACATTCCCAGCCACGAGGCCACACCGGTGCACTCCCGTATTGAAATAGATGCAACTTGTTTCTGGTGTTATTTGTATTTTTGAGAACCCGCCTTCATGCAATCACAAATGGCTGAGAGGAGAAGAGTTACGTTTTTTGCATGATGTTGAATGTCAGCTGCTCTTCCATGAATCTGATATTGCCACTTTTGGTAATGAAAAGGCATTTACGAAGGTGTTGGGGATGTCTGATCATCTCACCATGTGGTTTTGCTGTTAGGGCTTTGAGTGGCTATATGCGGTCGCTCTGGCCAACGGACTTGCAGATCAGGCCAAGCTGATCCAAGCCGGACAAATACTCCAGCATGCATTGATCTTGAACATCTAAGCTTGCAGTGATTGGCCAGGTTTGTCAATCTGCAAGTTGAGCTGTTAACGGCAGGGTGCACATGTGTGCAGATCTTTGTGAGGTCCAGGCTGATGGTGACTATTCCATTTGGAGCCAGCGCGTGAAGAGCATGTACCTCGCGGAAGGCTCGAGCTGCAGCCATTCGTAGCTTCTGTCTTAAATGTATCTATATAATGCGCTTGGAATGCCAGATTCCATCGCTATGCTTGTTTGACGAGTCCTTGTCCAACTGCAATGCATACGGTGCCCTCGTTAGTGTTGGGATTGAAATATAGCAGCAAGCTCGGAAGGTGGCGCTTGTCAGTCTGCCGAGACACCCATTCTCGGTGCCAGTCTCAATGTACATTGCAGGATTGCAGGATTTGTTGACACAAGCGGTCCTGATGCAAAAATGAGAAAAACAAAACAGTGTGCAAGACAAGCGGTCGCAAGCGATCCTATTTATAGTTTCTGTATAACTCGCCAAGCTGCCATGATAGATCCACGGGAGATATCTAGGAATTCACCTTCAGTCTTCTCCTTTGTGGCTGTGGCGCTGTCAAAGGCTTCATGCCTTGAAAGATGTCGAAACCAGAATAAAGACTACATGAATTTACATGACATCTATTGACATCTCACATGTTGAGGTCAAGAAGTGAAGATTTCTTTTTTGCTCAACTGCTCCTTCGAGCTCGGCCAGGTGGGCAAACACCGCTTTGCATGGTTTGCTTGCGAGACATGTCCAATTTGATGGGTGTCTTGTGAAGGCATACCGGATTTTCGTCTTGCTGGAGGATGGATCCAACCGAAATGATGGTACATTGAAGACACTGGACTTTGTGTATCAGGGCGCAACTTTGCAGCACAGGTGACAACAGGCATTTGTCGTGGCCTCCAACCATTTGTGTGGAAGTCGTAGACACAGCTTCTGAAAAGCTGAGGAGATGACTCTGGACTCAGCCATCCCATATTCTCATCCGGTGCCAAGTTCTGACAGGTCCATAGTCTTCATTGAATATGTAAAAGTCCGCATTCTTCTTGCTCCTAGTAGCAAGGGCATCGCTACTAGGGGCTCCTGGCCTTACTACTAGGAACAAGAAGCTATTAGAAACAAGAATTAGAATTAGAAATAAATTAAACCCAATTGCTAAGGTGGAGAATTGTGCCTATGACATCGGTGGCAGACTGGAGAATCCAACGCATTCGGATGTTTTCGGATGTTACATGCTGGGAGACTCAGGAAGGTGATGTATACCCTTTGCCTCCCAAGTTGCAAAGGGGTATTGAATCGGTATTGAATGCATTTGCCAAGTCTTTGCGCAGGCACACACCCAGTGGACGTGTATCCTTCACCGTATTTGGATCCATTGTGGTCGACTGTGCAAGAAGGCGGCGTTGGGAATCGAACGGAGAGAACTAAGGGGATAGATGTTGCTCAATTTCAAAACCTTCCGTGTCGAAGGGACCATGCTGACAGTACCCAAAGAAGCCACCCTCAGAAATACGGTTTCGGAGATCAATATTGAGCCTGCAAGTTGCTAAGTGTACAAGGCCGCCTCAAAGGAACATGATAGAAAATCAGTTCGATCCAGGAGTTCAAGAGTTCAAGCTTTGTTTGGTCATACTACAGTTTGTAGTTACATGTTGTTGATTCGCAAGCGGGGATTGATATTGCCTCGCTGCCTCACCTGGCCATGTGTAGAAAACATCCAGTCTCATGCTCGATCAAGTACTTCGGCACAAGTATCTAGACAGGCACATGCACAGAGAAAGAGGAACGGCTCATAAACATTGGAGGAACGCACGCGTTGTGTTCCGTTGTGTTCCATGGGTCTCCAACCGCTCGGGCCCTGGGGCTCGGTCTCGTTCAGGCGATCCACTTCCCAATGGTGCTGCCTTCTCGTATCCTGGGCCTTTGTCCAGCAGCAACGATGTTTTCAAGGAGACGGTTGAGTCACTTTGTCTCAAAATGTATTAGAAACAAACATGCAAAATCTCTGAGAAAAACAAAAAGGGACACTTTCCACCTCCGTGGTCTGTATCTATGTGTTCGACTTACTGCTCTGACTCTGACGTAAGCAGATGTGGCATCATGTGGCATGGGCAAGATTTGTGCCGAAGTCGGCCGACTAAAGCCTTTGACATCTTTGATGGTTTTGGCATGCTTTGGCTGATTCACCTTTGCAGGATGTTGGGAATTCCTGGGCTTCTGGCCAGCATTGTGCGCCTGGTGCCTGTCACATTGGCTTTAGAACCTCGGCCGAGCTTGGCAAGGAAGGCTAGATCATGCTAGGTCAGCGGAATTGTGCTCTTGAGATTTAGAATGCATATATAACAGTACTAGGAAGCCTGCGGTCCAACTCCAACATATTTGATCATCTTTGCCAAACTTTGTTTTTGATGTGTTGACAAGTGTGGAGTCAACTTCGCAACATCCTTCCCTCACTGTCCCAGGCTTTGGTGGTGGCAACGGTGACCTTCGCGTTTCTACAAAGGTGGGCTGTGTGGAGGTGACGCAATCAGAGGCAGGACCGACGGGGCAAGGAGGCAGAAGCGCCACTTGGCGGAGAAGCCGACTAGGCATCACTCGGCACTGGCGAAGAGTCTGTTCGAGAAGGGCTCCACCCATGATATCACCGGATGTGTTTCATCGTCCATCGGGAGGTCACTGGAGAGTTCGCCGAAAGCCTGGAGCTTCAGTACCATGATGGCACCGCCTTCGTTGCGTACCGTCAGGTGCGAAGGGAAAAAGCTCAAACATGTCATTTGATGTCATGTTGAACAACCAGGTTACTCAATCATACTCAATCCATTATAAATGTGCAAATTTGTCATGAGCACCTGGAGAGGGCTTGCGGTGGCACAGTGCAACACAGTTATCCAATGAAAACCGTTTCGGGGGGTCATTAGCCGATTCAGAAACCAACCGATCAGGCAACTACGATTCCGAAACCAAAACAGCCGATTCAGAAACTACGATTCAGAAACCAAAATGGCCGATTCAGCAACTACGATTCAGAAACCAAAACAGTCCGATTCAGAAACCAAATGAGCCGATTCAGAAACCAAACGGGCCGATTCAGAAACCAAGCGAGTCCCGATTCAGAAACCAAGTCGGCCGATTCAGAAACCAAAACAGCCGATTCAGAAACCAAGTCGGCCGATTCAGAAGCCAAATCAGGCGATTCAGCAACTACGATTCAGAAACCAAAAGAGCCGATTCAGCAACCAAAAGAGCCGATTCAGAAACCAAAACAGCTGATTCAGAAACCAAAACGGCCGATTCAGAAACCAAAACAGTCGATTCAGAAGCCAAGTTAGACTGTTCAGAAACTAAGCCAAGATAATAGCGTTCCATGTGGATGCAAAGGACTTTTACATTCAGTCAAGTAAGAAGTAGTGGTGGATGGCAGGAGGAGTGTGGGGGGGGAACCATGGCCAAGATAATAACGTTCCATGTGGA